CAGCTCCATGAAAACCTGTCCTTCAATCTGTCATTTTGCAAAGATATGTTGTAGCAAGTCGTGTTCACTTCGAACCCTTTCCATGATGAAAACTCATTGCCCTATCTGAAACCTTAAGTAGTTATCATGATTCTAAAAAGTGAGGGGAATTTTCCTTTTTTTCTTTTTGGTAACAAGAGTATTTAATTTTCCAAATTCTCCATGGGTGAAATTAGGTATTGAAATGATACCTACAGTATTTCTAATTGCAATCTTATACTGCATAATAATAATTTTTAATTGCATCTCACCTCAGCCCCCTACCCCACCTCAGACACATTTTATCATTTGCAATTGTCACTGGTAATTTGAAATTGCCTGATTATCAAAAGCTTCATACCGCACCCATCACTATGATATTGGAATACTTCAAGTGACAATTAAATAAGAAGGTTTTTTAAAAAATCCCTTGTAGAGCCAAAATCATCCTGGGAAGTTTTAGCACTCTTTTTAATTAAATGGTAAAGTTGGCAAGAGTTAAATAAATGTTAACAAATATTCAGGATTTTCGAAAGTGTTCAAACTCACTATTCAGTGTCTGAAGGCAAATTTTTAAATTCACAGTTGAATTTTGCATTTGCATGAAGAAGGTCTCCTGGTCTCCTGGTCAGGCTGGGGATGTTGCCTATTCGATACCCTGGAGAGCCGCTGCTCCTCAGTGTAGAGAATTCTAAGCTAGAAGGTCAAAGAGCCTGAACTGCAGCCTGATGACAGCCTTACATTATTATGTATATGGGAAGATATCTAATCCTGTTTGGACCAGTTCTCCCGAAAAGAAGTAAAATCTCATTCTGACCTTGTTCTCTGCAGATCTGAGTTGCAGCCTGGAAGGCTTGCGTTGTCTTTTCATATCATATTTTTTAATCTCAGCCAGATCCAACCATCTATTAATCCTTCTACTACAGCTAAGTATCTTGTCATCTGCACTTACAACATGTTTGCTGTTCATATTATCAATAAAGTGGAAGATTGATTTCAATGAAAAGTGTGGCATTTATTTGTTTATTTGTTTGTCACTTTGCTTCTTCTCTCTTCCTCCAAAAGGAGCTGAGAGCGGTGTACAATAAAAATTCAAAACAGTAGATTTCAAGTGAAAAAAATAAAACACACAATTAACAACATTAGAATTTCAAAAATCACAGCACAGTCACAAAACTGGCAACAACTCTTTGGTGCCCCAGCTGTCAGTCCTGCTTGCAGACTTTCCACAGGTTGACCAGTGTGAGAAGGAAGCATTGGACTAGATCCCAAACTTGGGTCTCCAGCTGTTTTTGGACTACAACTCCCATCATCCCTAGCTAACAGGACCAGTGGTCAGGGTTGATGGGAACTGTAGTCCCAAAACATCTGGAGACCCAAGTTTGGGAAACCCTGGCCTAGATGGACCCTTTGGCCTGATCCTGCAAGGCTCTTCTTATGTTCGCCATATTTCTGGGGACCAGAAATCACAGTGGACTTTTACAATGTTTTATGTGTGGCAGTAGTGTAGACATCTAAAAATAATAAATGTCAGCAGTCAAGAAGGCCTACACAAGGACAACTATTTAGAAGGTAAAGGTAAAGGACCCCTGGATGGTTAAGTCCAGTTGAATTTGAATTCTCACTTCAGGCCAAGGGAGCCAGTGTTTGTCCACAGACAGCTTTTCTGGGTCATGTGGCCAGCATGACTAAACTGCTTCTACCACATGGAAACACTGTTTACTTTCCTGCCACAGTGGTGTTACCTATTTATCTACTCACACTGGTATGCTTTTGAACTGCTAGGCTGGCAGGAGCTGGAATTAAACCTTGCTTAGAGTCAAAGTAGCCACTAGATTTTATTGTTTATAGCCAATGGCCAAATGTGTCTAAGCTCTGTTTGGTCATAGCAGCCATAGCAGCCACCCAAAATGATGTGCACAGATCTTGGTCCTGTTAGATATTGTTGTGTTTGCATCCTGTCCTTCCTCCAATTTTATGACCCAAAATGCTAGTTATTCCCCCCCCACCTCATATCCATCAATAGGTTATAATTTTCTGATAAAACCCCTTTCGTTTTATATTTTGTTATCCCGCCACCCCAGTTGATGGTACCTGTTGGCCTCTGCATGGCTGCTGTGACCAAACAGAGCTTAGACATGTGTGTTTTACCTTCTCTGGTCAAGTCGGTCTTCTTAAAAATAACAGCCGCTTGGCCGAAAAGATGGGTTAATGCTCACTGCTGCTCATGTTTATTTCAATCCACTTTATGCTGGCTTCCTTTTTTCTTTTCTTTGCCCCTCCCCCCCAATTTTTTTGTATATGTGCAAAATCTTTCATACCGGAGCCATTTATCTTCTACAACAGCTACTTAGTCACAACTTTAGTGTTAAGAATTTGCCCGGAGATGGATGGGAAATGAAGGAAGCAAGACAGGGGTGGAAGTGGGGAGGGGTGCAGAGCAGATGCTCATTTTTTTAAAAAAAAGGGGGGAGGGAAAAAAAAAGAATAGAAATCAAACGGTATCAAGCCAAAGCACATGCCACCTCTTGTGTATCTTATTCTACAATTCTTTGAAGTCTTAATCTTTTGAAAAGAAAAGCCTTTCAGCTACTCTGTGGCAACAACTCGGGATTGTAACTTTTGACTCGCGGTTCATAAACGGATCTCATCCATTTCCTGACAATTAGTGCTAAGTGAGTTTAAATTTCATCCTGAGCTGCCACTGTGTCAGCTCTCTGGGAATGGTTTTCCCCCCTCTTGTCTTTCCCCTTCATGTTTCCGCATCCCATTTTAAAACACACACAATCCAGCTGAAAACAAGCCTCTTTTACATGAGCATGCAAAGCAGACAGCTGTCAATTAGTCCTTTCCAGCTACTGCCAACCTAGCAGTTCGAAAGCACGTCAAAGTGCAAGTAGATAAATAGGTACCGCTCTGGCAGGAAGGTAAACAGCGTTTCCGTGCGCTGCTGTGGTTTCGCCAGAAGCGGCTTAGTCATGACCCGGAAGCTGTCTGCGGACAAACGTCGGCTCCCTCAGCCAGTAAAGTGAGATGAGCGCAGCAATCCCAGAGTCGTCCGTGACTGGACTTAATGGTCAGGGGTCCCTTTAAAAAGGGTAAAGGGGAACCCTGACCATTAGGTCCAGTCGTGACCGACTCTGGGGTTGCGGCGCTCATCTTGCTTTATTGGCCGAGGGAGCCGGCATACAGCTTCCGGGCCAGCAGGACTAAGCCACTTCTGGCGAACCAGAGCAGCACACGGAAACGCCGTTTACCTTCCCGCCGGAGAGGTACCTATTTATCTACTTGCACTTTGACGTGCTTTCAAACTGCTAGGTTGGCAGGAGCTGGGACCGAGCAACGGGAGCTCACCCCGTCGCGGGGATTCAAACTGCCGACCTTCTGATCGGCAAGTCCTAGGCTCTGTGGTTTAACCCACAGTGCCACCCACGTCCTATGGGGTCCCTTTACCTTTACTCCATTGGGTGGTGAATCCCATTCAGTAAGGATATAATATTTCTTTTTGGAACAATCTGATCACTACCTTGATGCTGAGGCCACACCACACCATCCATTTAAAGCACTATTATGATCACTTTAATGGCCGTAGCTCCCCTCCGCCAATAATTCTGGGAACTGTAGTTTGTTAAGGGTGCTGACTGAGAGTCGTCATGAATCCGATGTTCCCCTCACAGGGCCACAACTTCCAAACTTCCCTGGGGGAGAAGGGTTGATTGGGAAGAAGAAGAAGAAGAGTTTGGATTTGATATCCCGCCTTTCACTCCCCTTCAAGAGTCTCAAAGCGGCTAACATTCTCCTTTTCCTTCCTCCCCCACAACAAACACTCTGTGAGGTGAGTGGGGCTGAGAGACTTCAGAGAAGTGTGACTGGCCCAAGGTCACCCAGCAGCTGCAAGTGGAGGAGCGGGGAATCGAACCCGGTTCACCAGATTACGAGTCCACCGTTCTTAACCACTATACCACAATTGCATAGGTGATTCCTAACAACTCTCAGCACCCATAACATACTACAGTTCCCTGGATTCTGTTAAAGTGGTCTAACAGCGTTCTAAACATGTGACCTGTATGTTTCCAGTATGATTTTCCTTTTATTTGTTTCCAAAAAAAAGTTTGCATAGTCCTGTCCAGCACCATCATTCCATAAGGCTGTGTTTCTGGGAGCAGATGATTATGTTGCCTCTGGCTGACTCAAAAACATCACAGCTAAGCTTCAGCAAATTAAGACTTATTAGAAACCGCAGCCAAAGACTGATGGCTTATTCCAATGAAATATGGGGAACTCACCCGCCTTCCAATAATACCCTTGCCCAATAGTCTATGGTCCTACGACAGCTTCCACAGATTTAGTATTTATTTATTTAACAAGATTTATATAATGCCTGATCAAAGAAGTATCTCTAAGCGGCTTACATAAAATGCCTCTCATTTATCAATGAGCAATATTTCAGTGTGTCTTCCAGCAAAAATGTTCACAGATAATCTTTGTAAATAATGTAGAATAAATCCAGTCAACAAACAATTGAAGCAATGGGGTTGTATCTGAACTTATCCCACTCACAGTAGACCCATTGAAATTAATGGACAGGGCTAACTTAGGTGCATTAATTTCAATGGGTTTTCCCTGAGTAGGTTTTCGTTGGATGCAACATACCATTTTTGCATTTATGAAATGCTCTTGCATCTGATTCCCAAGTAAAATTGGTAGGATTTTATTTTTTTAAATGTCTTCACCAGCTTCCAATGAGAGATCAGGGTCAAGCTGTAATTAAACTTTTTGGAGCACATGGAGAAATAGTTTAATAAGGCACCTTCCTACGTTTCTGTCTCTCCTAAAAGAGGCTTTCTTTGAATTTAGATGGTGTTCAGTAGAGTCAATGGATGTGTTGAGATACAATAATAGCATCATAGAACTGTAGAGTTGGAAGGGACCCAAGGATCATCTAGTCTAGCCCCCCGCAATGCAAGAATCCTGCCCACAGCTGTCCCTGGGTGGGCTCGAACCACCAACGCTTCTGGTTAACAGCCAGATGCACAGACCCATTGCGCCACTTCCTAATCCAGTGATGGCCAACTTGGCCCTCCAGCTGTTTTGGGACTACAACTCCCATCATCCAGTGGTCAGGGATGATGGGAATTGTAGTCCCAAAATAGCTGGAGGGCCAGGTTTGGCCATCACTGTCCTAATCCATCAGCAGACACTAGAGAATTCATTTCCCTCTCCCCCTTCCTGCAGCCCCCAGCACCTCCCAATCTGTTCCAGGGGGTCCCCCAACCTCCCAGGGCAGATTTTGGAGGTGCATGGAGGGCTGTGGGGGAGAAGAGGGGGAAGTCCCATTTGCGTAAGTGGATTGTTGCGCATGGAACTGTTTCTTTCCTAGTCATCACAGCTCATTTGGAAGCTGAGATTCCCCGCCCCTGATTTAAGCAGAGTTTCCCTAAAGGTAAAGGGACCCCTGACCATTAGGTCCAGTCGTGGCTGACTCTGGGGTTGCAGCGCTCATCTCGCCTTATTGGCCGAGGGAGTCGGCGTACAGCTTCCAGGTCATGTGACCAGCATGACTAAGCCGCTTCTGGCGAACCAGAGCAGAGCACGGAAACACCGTTTACCTTCCCGCCGGAGCGGTACCTATTTATCTACTTGCACTTTGACGTACTTACGAACTGCTAGGTTGGCAGGAGCAGGGACCGAGCAATGGGAGCTCACCCCGTTGTGGGGATTCGAACCACCAACCTTCTGATCAGCAAGTCCTAGGCTCTGTGGTTTAACCCACGCGCCGCCCACGTCCCAGAGTTTCCCTAGGCCTAGATAATAGGTCAACGTTGATTTAAGAATGTTTTCACATGTATCGGATGAGCATGTGCAGGCAGCAGGGTCCACGCCGGTGCTCCTGTGCATTCCAGTTCTCAGTTGGCAATGTATTTTCTATTGGGAAAAGGAAAGCATGTCCCATTCATAAGAAACCTGAACCTGAACGGACAGCAGAAATCTTGAGCTGCGTGTCGAAGTGTTATCTCCTGGATTACAGTTTATAATCAAATGGATGTGTCACTTGGGGCACCTTGCATTGGATCTTTGCCACATTTCAAGGTGAAGTGAAGCAGCCTGATGTTTACCTGGGGCAGCAGGTGAAATCTTATGCCCAGAAAAGTCCTCGTTCCATTAAGCTTTAAACAAAAACAAAAAAAAGTCTACCTGAGGTGTTAATTAGAATCTAGATTCAGGTGCTAACCTCTTTGACTGAAAGCGCCTGTTGAGTAATTGCAGGAAAGGGGCCCATTTTAGGCAGAGCAGTAATTACTGAATTAGTAGAAAAGTTCAAGTACAGCTTCAGATTTCCAATCATTACGGAGTTTTCTGAGAACTGGAACAGCTAATCCTGGAGGGACTGGACTTCTTTCTCACCTGTTGACATGGACATTGGCATGCTTTAAGGAACTCAAAGTTTCCAATTAAAAAAAACCACTCCAAATTGTTGGGGGCTGCTTGTTAATTTTGTTTGCTCATTTCTTGTTGTGCCATTAAACAAGCATGCATGACGTTGAATACTGGTAGCTTTGCATGCAGAAGGCGCCTGTTTTCTGTTGAAGAGATCTCAAGCGGCATGCTTGGGACTTCTGTATCTCAGAGCTGTTGCTTATCTGAGCAGGGCAGCCTGCCCCAAGTTGGGGTTCTTCAACTGGAGAGCGTAGGTACAGATCAGGATTCAGCAACATAGTGCCCTGCAGATGTCTTGACCATCAGCTCCAGCCAGTATGTGCTAGGATGGTGAACCCTGGTAGAAAAGTGCAGCACTAGATAGATCAAAGGCAGGTTCATATGTCCAAACAGGATAAATAATATTTTCGGGATTTAAAAGATATTGCCAAACCTGAAGGGTGATGCCATGCTGACCCACACTATGTTTAAGTTCAGACATGCATACTAAAAAGAAAGCAGAAGTCTGCCGTAAGAAATGCCTCGCCCACAATTTTCCAGGAAGAAGAGCGGGGTGGAGATCGGGATTTTGCGGGAGATCCACTTAATCATCCATATAGATGACTGAATGTCTGATGATTGAGCAGTTGGAGCAAACCCATGCTTTTCTTGGCAAGCATTAAGCATCACCACTAATGCAGTCAAAACATTCTATGATGGCTTTTCATATGCCATTATATTAACCTAAGGCCTTTCTTGCTATATGTGTCACTTGTTCCCACCACTGAGATCCAGATCAGGTGGTACTTTCTCCCCAATTTTGTCTTATGCGTGGCAGGGATGTGAGGGCATGCCTGTCTTGGCAAACACCTGCATATAAGGATAATGTTTGAAATGGATTACACGCCCTCCAACACTTCTCCAATGATAATAGGGATGTCCTAAGGAAAAACGGGACATTCCAGGATCAAATCAGAAGCCGGGATGGCTTCTGTAAATCAAGGACTGTCCCTGGGAAATAGGGACTCTTGGAGGGTCTGTGATTATGTGTAAAAAAAGAAATAAATCTAATCTAATCTGCATGGGCCAAAATTGTGTGTTTGGTTTTGGGATTATATGAAGAAACTTGATGTGGGCTAGATTGATGGCTTTTATGTACAGTGGTACCTCGGGTTACAGACGCTTCAGGTTACATACGCTTCAGGTTACAGACTCTGCTAACCCAGAAATATTACCTCGGGTTAAGAACTTTGCTTCAGGATGAGAACAGAACTCGTGCTCCGGTGGCGCAGCAGCAGTGGGAGGCCCCATTAGCTAAAGTGGCGCTTCAGGTTAAGAGCAGAACGGACCTCCGGAATGAATTAAGTTCTTAACCCAAGGTACCACTGTATACTGAACAGAGTGAGAGGCAATGGAGACCATTTTGTTCTCTCTCTCTCTCTCTCTCTGTGTGTGTGTGTGTGTGTGTGTGTTGGGGGAAGATTTCAAAGCCTTTAGAAGAGGGGTGCAGAACCAGACACTGTTGGATTTGAACTCCCATCATCCCTGAGAACAGGCTGGGCTTGATGGGAGCTGGAGTCTAAAGACATTGTTGCAGGGCAGGCACAGGTTCCCCTGAGCTAGGACCAACCATTTGGGCCTGGTATTGCCCATCAAATCCAAGCCATCTGACTTGTTAAAGGTCCAATTACCCAGTACACATCCACAATATTAAGTGAACAAAGAATAACTTGCAAACAACTTGTAGAATTAGGTTGATTCACGATCTGTAAATCACCCTCAGTCTTTTGCTTGCAGAAAATGCCTCTCACGACTGCACCCTCCTCTCCCCGAAGTTGTTTTTCAAAGTAATGGGAAAGAGGAAAAACATGTTAGGTTTGAAACCTGTGCCTATTTATCTGATCCCCCTTTAAACCTTTTTTGACATGTTTAGAAGACAGTAACGTAGGTGTCCTTTAGGTGTGTGGGCTGCCATGTTCACTGGCAATGTTTGCTTTAGGAATTTAAGTGTCTGAACATTTATAATATCTAAAAGGATCTCCCGGCTCCAGCATGATGCAGCTTGCAGCCCCGGGCAAAACAATTCACGGAAATATAAGCACTAGTCCTCCTTAAGCTGACGAAGTTATCAAAATTCAGAAGTTCAGGTAATCAGGTTTTGGAAGTGAACAAAAAATCAGAGGGGAAAGACGTTTTTAAAATGCGCATTTGTGGGTGTGCTTTGGTGGTTATTTTCAAGGACTTAGCCAGATGCACATTTTGACAGAGCCCTGACCTTGTATAAATAACTTGGGCACAAAATATCTTAAGGATCACCTGATCCCTTATACTCCACCTCAGTCACCAAGATCCTCTGATGGGGGATTGTCGGTGGCTGCCCAAGCCCCTGAGGTTCATTTGGACTTCAATAGGAACCGAGCATTTAGGGTGACAGGCCCTGCCCTGTGGAAGTCCCTGCCTCCAGAGGTTCAGCAGTAACAGTCGCTGGCTTCCTTCAGATGTCTCTTGAAGACGGCACTTTTCAAACAGGCCTTTGCAATGTGCATTTTACTTTTTAAGCAGCCCGTATCTTTTGCTGCTTTATCGATGCTTTAAATTATGTTTTCCATACTGCACACCCTCCAGTTTTTCTCTGATGAAAATAGGGACATCCTATTCAACAACAACAACAAATTTATTTATACCCCGCCCACCTGGCTGAGTTTCCCCAGCCACTCTGGGCGGCTCCCAACAGAATATTAAAAACACGATAAAACATCAGACATTAAAGACTTCCTTAAACAGGGCTGCCTTCAGATGTCTTCTAAAAGTCAGATAGTTGTTTATTTCCTTGACATCTGAGGGGAGGGCTTTCCACAGGGCAGGCGCCACTACCAAGAAGGCCCTCTGCCTGGTTCCCTGTAACCTCACTTCTCACAGTGAGGGAACTGCCAGAAGGCCCTCGGAGCTGGACCTCAGTGCCCGGGCTTAACAATGGGGGTGGAGACGTTCCTTCAGATATTATTATTATTATTATACCCCACCCATTTGACTTGGTTGCCCCAGCCACACTGGGCGGCTTCCAACATATATAAAACATAATAAAACAACGTTAAAAAACCTATACAGGGCTGCCTTCAGATGTCTTCTAAAGGTTGTATATACTTATCTCCTTGGCTCAGGGGGTTGCATAACTCCATACCCTCCAACATTTCTCTGATGAAAATAGGGATGTCCTAAGGAAAAGCGGGACATTCTGGGATTAAATCAGAATCCTAGATGGTTTCTGTAAATCCGGGACTGTCCCTGGAAAATAGAGACACTTGCAGGGTCTGATACCATCCAATTTTTGGACAGCCAAAATTGGGATGCGCATTTTCCAGGACATGCTCCCAGGTGAGTCACGTGACCTGAGCTTTGCTCTCACCCTTCCCCAGCAGGTCCCAGCAGGATGAGGCGAATATGAGTAATTTAAGACTTGCAGGGATGAGATCAGCAAAGCTAAAGTTCAGCATGAAGTTGGTTCAAAGTCAAACTAACGTATGAATTGTGTGAACTGAATTGGGCCCAGTATTAAATAGGGAGCCACTGCAACCCCCAGGGAACAGGTGTATTGAGGGCTATACATCAGTACAGTGCTTAGACTTCTGTTAGAATC